GGAGACCTTTCCATCTTCTGATATATTCTCTATTTTTTTCAGACTGTATGAAGTTCTTGTCATACAGGTCTTTCACTTGCTTATTTAGAATCACACCAAGATATTTTATATATTATTTGTGGCTATTGTGAAGGATGTTGTTTCCCTGTTCTTTCTTTCTTTCTTTTTTTTTCTGAGACAGGGTTTCTCTGTATTGTTTTGGAGGCTGTCCTGGAACTCGTTCTCTAGACCAGGCTGGCCTTGAACTCACAGAGATATGCCTGCCTCTGCCTCCTGATTGCTGGTATTAAAGGCTTATGACACCAATGCCTGGCTTTCACTATTCTTTCTAACCCCATTTATGATTTGTATATAAAGGGCTACTGAATTTTTTAGTTAATAGTGTCTCTGGCCACACAACTGAAGGTGTTTATCAGCTGTAGGAGTTCCCTGTTAGAAATTTTGTTATTACTTGTGTATATTATCATATCATGTGCAAATAGTCATAATTTCATTTCTAAATTTCCAAATAGTATCTCCTTTAGTTTTCTTGTTGTTCTAGCCAAAACTTCAAGTACTGTATTAAATGCATATGGAGAGAGTGACCATTCTTGTCTTGTCCATTTTTTGGTGTAATTGTTTTGAGTTTCTCTCCTTTTAATTTGATGTTTGATATTGGATAGTTATATAGTGATTTTATTATGCTTAGTCATCTGTTATATCTCTGATCTCTCTAAGACTTCTATCATGAAGGCGTGCTGGATATTGTCAAAGACTTTTCCAGAATCTAATGAGATGATAATGTTATTTTTTCCTTTCAGTTTGTTTATGTGGTGGATTACATTGACAGATTTTCATATGATTAACCATCCCTGCATCCCTGGGATGAAACCTACTTGATCATGATGAATGATGTGTTTGATATTTTCTTGATTCAGTTTGACAGCGTTTCATTGAGTATTTTTGCATCAATATACACGAGTGAAATTGTTCGTTAATTCTCTTTCTCTGTTGAGTCTATATGTGGTTTGTGTGTTAAGAGAAGCTTTTTCTTTGAGAAAAGCCTTCCCGCCCGCCTGGTTCTAGATCCGCATCAGTCCCAAATAAGCACACAGGAGGCTATATTAATTATGAAGCTGCTGGCCTTGCTTGTTTCTTACTGGCTAGCTCTGACTTAAGTAATTACCCCATAATTGTTAATCTAAGTATTTCTCTTACCGGAGAATAGTTCCGGGCTTACTACCTCCACGGCATTACATCTTGACTCTCTTGTGTTTCTCCTTCCCAGAGTTCTCCTGGACTCCTAGTCCCTCCTATCTTGATTCCCTATAGGCCAGACAGTGCTTTATTGACAAATGCACAGGACCTCCCCAACATTTGTGTATTAAGGTGACTGTGGTATCGTAAAATTAATTTGGCAATGATCTGTTTCTATTTTGTGAAACAATTTGAGGAGTATTGGTATTAGTGCTTCTTTGAAAGTCTGATAGAATTCTGTGATTAAACCAGCTAGCCCTGGACTTTTATTTTTTGGTTGTGAGATTTTTAATGATTGCTTCTATTTTCTATGGTATAGGTCTATTTTAATTGTTTCCCTGATCTTGAGTAACCTCATTAATTGGTATATATCAAGAAGATTGTCCATTTTTTAGATATTCCAATTTTGTGGAGTGTAGGTTTTTGAAATATAACCTAATGATTCTCTGTATTTCCCCAGTTTTTTGTTTTCACGCCCCCTCTAAATGTCAAATTTTGTCAATTTGGATGCTCTCTTTCAGCTTTTTAGTTTGGATAGGGCTTTTTCTATTATTTTGTGTTTCTCATGAACCAACTCTTATTTTCTTTGATTATTTGTATTATTTTCTTTGTTTTTATTCTGTTGATTTCAGCTCTCACTTTATTTCCTACAGTCGACTCCACATTCTTTATGGAGGTACTTAGTGCTATGAACTTTCTTCTTAGCATTGCTCTCAGTGTGTCATGTAGGCTTGGGTATGTTGTGTATCCATGTTCATTGAATTCTAGAATGTCTTTAATTTCTTTATTTATGCCTTGTCACAGAGGTTATTCAGTAGGGAATGTTCAAGTTCCATGAGTTTGTAGGCTCTGTTGTTTTTGTTGTTGAAATCCAACTTCAATTCATGGTGGTCTGCTACGCTATAGAGAGTCATTTTAATATATGTTTAGACTTTCTTTCTGACTGAGTATGTGGTTAATTTTGGAGAATGTTGTGTGAGGTGCTGAGAAGAAGTTGAAATTTTTTTGTTTGGATGAAATGTTCTGTTGATATCTGTTAGATGTACATAGTTCATAATGACAGTTAAATCCAATACCTCTCTACTTTTTGTTTAGATGATTTGTCATTGCTGCTGGTGAGTTATTGATGTCGCCCACTATAAAAGTGTGAGGGTTGATATAAGATTTAAGCTTTAGTAATGGTTCCTTTTCAAATCTGGATGCCCTTGTGATTGGGGCACAGATGTTAAGAATTGAAAACTCATCTTGTTGGAATTTCCTTTGATGAGTATGAAGTGTAGTTCTCTATTACTTTTGATTAACTTTGGTATAAAGCATATTTTGTTAGATATTAAAATTGATACACTAGCTTGTTTCTTAGGGCCACTTACTTGGAAAACCTTTTACTCTGAGGTAATGTTTATCTTTGATGTTGAGGTGTGTTTCTTGTATCAGCAAAAGGATGAATCCTGTTTTTGCATGCATTTTGTAAGTCTGTGTCCTTTAGTTGAGTATTGAGTCCATTAATATTGAGTGATATAAAAGACCAATAAGTGTTAAACCCTGCTATTAGGTTTGTGGTGGTGGTAGTGTGTGTGTGTGTGTATATGTGTGTGTGTGTGTGTGTGTGTGTGTGTGTGTGTTTGTAGATTTTAGGGTTTTTCTGTTGTGAGATTATTTATTGCCTGCGTTTTCATTGGTGTAGTTAAAATCCTTGGATTGGAAGTTTCCTTATAGATCCTTCTATAGGAATTAATTTGTGCACAGATATGTTTAAATTTGACATTCTTTTTAAATATCTAGTTTTCTAGCTATGGCGATTGAAATTTATATTGGGTATAGTAATCTTAGCTGGCACCTCTTATTGCTTAGCATTAGTAGGACATCAGCCCAGTTCCTTGTGGCTTTTAGAGTATCTTTGTTCAATTGGGGGAATTCTAATAGTCTGCCTTCATATATTACTTGGCTTATTCCTTTGTAACCTTTAATGTCATCTCCTTGTTCTGTGTGTTTAGTGCTTTGATTATTATTTCTTTTCTGATCTTATTTATTTCATTACTTTAAGCTTCTTGTACTTCTGTAGGAATGTCCTTCTTTAGGTTAGGAATTTTTTCTATGAGACTCAAAGAACAAGATGGACTGCCAATATAAAAATTAGCACTGTTTATCTCCTGTCCTCCAAGATTCCTTTGGCAGAGTTAAGGCAGAAGACAGGAGAAGAACCCCAAACAGCTAAGTATCCAAAAATCAATGGGAATCTGAGAACATGTACATTATGAATCCTTTACTATCTGGGTTACTGTTCTTTATCCCATGATATAAAATGCCTGCATGGAGAAGGAAACACTGGAAGCTCTTTGAAAGATAGTCTTGTGGGGACCACTGGATCAGGAACTCCAGCATGACTTTTAGCAAGGCCTCTCTAGTCATTTCACTCAGACACTGTAAACACCCATCTTATGGATATATTTCTGTCTATCTTATACCTTAATTTAGGGCTTTTTCTTAGCAAATTTACCCAAGGGGATGCTGTGCTCTGCCCAGGGTTATACAGGAGGAACTCTAGCTTGCTGGCTCGACTATGCTTGTCTAGTCACTTCTGAAAGATGTTGCAAGTTCCAGATTTGAAGATATTTTGCTGCCTACATGCTGTCTGCTAATTGTTTTTAACTTTTCCCATTTTTCCCGTTGCAGACTTACCAAGCTCATTAATTTGCAATTTATAGTAGTACTCCCATTGGTAACTGCTTATAAAAGAACTGGTGTCTCCTTCTATTCCTCTCTGTTTACTTGGGAATCAGTGTTTATCACTTAGTTTGCAGCTCACCAATAGTCTAGATGGGCTGGTTGGTGAGTTCCTGGGATCGTCTCTCTGGGTCTGCAAGAGCTGCCAGAGTCTATCTTACTATGGACTCTGGGGCTCCAATCTCAAGTCATCAGTCTAGTAAATATGCAGTTTACTCACTGGGTAAAATTTTTTTCCTGGAGTTAATTTTCTCTAGTGTTTTATCACAGTGACAAAAGAGAAAAAGAAAAAAAACATTGATAGACATAATCAGTTTTATTCTAGCTGCTCTCCTCTAACACTTCTGTTGAATCTGGTTAGGAAACTCATAACACAGCTAAGTTTGAGGACTTGCAGCCATCTCATAATTTGTTTACAGATTATGTAGAAATATTAATATCATATCATTTACTAAACAATGTTACTTAGGAAATGGAAATAAACATATGTAGTCATTTTGACATGTACTCATTTAGACATGGAGTCAAAAAATTCGCAGAATCTATTCAAGATATCCATAGCCATTCTACAATAGTGCAATGTATACATTTTGTGTATGTTTTTTGAGCTTTCACTTATCATTATGTTGCTTTTCAGATTTCATTGTAATTTCTATTCCTTCAAATAGAAAGCATATCACCTTGTTTCTTATGATCCTGTTACAACAAAGAGAGTAGATTACAATAATGCAGATTATTAAATCGGGCATGGCCCAGGATTGATGTCATAGTTCTTATTCAAGATTTCATGCCACTTATTTCATTGCAATTTCTCTGTAAAACTTCAAGTTTCACTCTGTATAAGACATGATGGGAGATGTGGGGAGAGAAGCTCAGATGCAATGGGATCTGGAGTAGATTAAGAAGACTGTACAGATAGCCTTTATTGTTATTAGAGGAGTGAAAATGTTAAAGATAAAATCCAAATGCTATTTCAGCCAAGGAACAAGGGAGGGACTTAGTCATAGCCAGAAAATATTTTTGTTTCATAGGTTGCATTCTCAGAAGAAAAAGACATCAGGAGTCACAGACAATTTCAGGAATCTATTTGCAGCTTGAACTAGCCTGAGGATGGAGCATTCTGTGAAGAAGGAAAACAAGAGTCAGATCTGTGCTACAGGAGAAGAGGGGGATGATTTTTCATGAGCCTTCCACAATTATTCCTTTCATCCCCCTTAGCCATGATTTAGTTTCCTGCAGTACCCTCTTTGCTACTTTTCTTGTTCTGAGTCTCCTTTAGTCTTTTCTGTCCACAGGAACCCAGCAATAAGGATAGAATAAACATTCAGGAGTACTGGCTCCATGTCTAGTGTTATTCTGTCTCAGCTAAGTATCCACATCTATGTTCCTTCCCTCTGATCAGCTATTCCCAAACAACAACTACGTATTTCATCCTAATCCTGACGAGGAAGGATTAGCTGAGAGGACAGAAAATGCTCAGAGATACCATGGTAGGGGCAACTATGGGGGTTTTCTTGTACTTATCCTCTGATACACTTACAGGCACAGCTGTGATCCCAACCTGGAAAGGGGAGAGGGAGGGAGGGAGGATGTGCTCCTACCTGCATGGTCATGAAGCCAGGCCACTGCCTTCCTTTCCAGAATCTCCCATTCACATTTCAAGCCCTTGCCATTAGCATGCAGCCAGAGCACAGCCAGCACTGTGGCCCAGGCTGAGAGGTCCCCATCCTGCAAAACAGATTGAAACTTCTGTGATGTTCCAGGCAGGGCAGGAAGCCACTCTGCCTCTCAAGTGCTGGGATTAAAAGGCGTGTGCCACCAATGCCTGGATTATAGTTGACTTCTTTTAAGGCATTGTATTCATTAATTTTTCTCTGTATCCTCACATGCCACAAAATAACTCCCCACAAATAAACAAAGCTAAACAACACAACAACAAATTGGCATAACAAAGAATTAAAAGCACATTTCAAAACATAAATGCAAGTAATACAAAAGATAAAATTTTTTCTGACTTAGTTCTTTAGTAATGATGGATATTGGTATATATGCCCAATATTAGATATCACTCATATTTCTGTGAGGGTTGCTTAAGTTGGGATACTAAAAATACGAAAGCATGTTGCTCAAGACTACATGCAAAGCCCATTTTGAGTTTTAAAACGTAGCTCTTGAGTGGTCTCAGCTTAGGAGAGATGACTTATGAATATCTACAATCCTAGCCCAAGAATGAAGCCGTCCTGAGGTGTCCTGGGTCAGATCTTTTGCTTCACATTCTTGTGGCCACACGACTCCTCTGTGTTCAGCGTGCAACGGTTTTCAAGTCAGTTTGTCTGTCTTCTACTCATATAGCACAGGGTTAAGAAATAAAAGTAATTTTTGACTTTTATTTATGTCATATAGTTTTTTTTGTTAGTGTTCTTATTTTTCATGAAAACTTAAAACTCATGATCAGAGATTTTAAGGTACTTGATTCTCCTATTTATCACTGTTTCTTTCTGTTTTATCATCTACCAATTGAAAAACTTTATTCTGTATCTTCATAAATATCAGCAAATAAACATTCAGAGCTTAGTGGCTTCAAAATTATATTTCTATTTTGACACCAATTTCTTATTCAGCAGTATTATTTATAAGTAATCTACATTCAATCAGAGTATCTATCATTTTAAATTTTCAAATTTCCAATTGAAATTCAGATATCAACATGTGCTATTTATTCAACTTCATTTTACTTTTTTACTAGATTCAGTTCATGACATCTTATATTCTAAAGCTATGTTCTTCTGGTGAACAATGTCTCTAGCTAGTACCAAACCATACTTTAAAAAATGTTAAAAGAAATTATCATATTGTCAAGCAGCCAATGTGAAACAATTTTGATGAAATATTTCCATAGTTTCATCCCAAATGTTTAAGTCAGCTTGTATTTTACAGCATATATACCTCTGTTGACTAAAAAAATTACATCTCATTTGTATTCACCACATTTCATAGACTTAATAGCCAGGCTTGACTTGAACATGAAGTACAAGTAGTACAACTATAGAATATGTGATGTACATTTAATAATATAACACATTTTAGTAACTCAGAACTGCACTTTATTGAAGAGTTTTTAAAAAAAATATTATTAGAAGATCCAGAAGGTAAACTACAAACTCTGGATAAGGTCTATCACTTATGTAGCATACTTGAGAATGTTAAAAAAGCAATACTGGGGCTGTTATTGGAGTCTTTGCAGACAGGGTGTCCTAGCACTAAATCTAGTTCTGCACTGGCTAGTGCAGAGTATTCATGTTCTTACTGTTGTATTTCCTCATCTATACATAGGTGTATAAATAGAACCTGCCTTAATTGACTGAATTGTGAAAAAGTGAACATATTCATACTAAGTGCTTTAAAATTACCTGGTACAGTATGAATATAAAATGTTTGTTTTCACAAATATATATAAGGGAAATATGATTAACCCAGAAGAGCACTTAATTTCCCATTGATGTCCATCTGTCTGACCATGCCTTACAGCACCTAATCTAGTAATTCCAAGTTCCTTATGCTCCAACTTAGGTGTATTTCACATTAATTTCACCTATGCATTATCCATATTCTTTTTTTATTTTTCTGTTTTCTTTTTTGTTTTTGTTTTTAAATTTAAATTAGAAACAAGGTTGATTCACATGTCAATCCCAGTTCCCTCTTCTTATCTATATTCTTATTTCTCAACTTGACCCTTGCTTTTTTTTCAGTTCTAATTATGTTCCTACAATCATGAAGCACACTGTTTCCTTTGCTACACTTTGCTTCTCACCTTGGCAGGATTTGCAGCCTTCATGTCTTTCAGCCTAGTGCCCAGGATCTGAGTCAGATCCTTATTCAGCTCCCAGGAGCCATTTGCCTTTTGGAGGGAAATCAGGTGCAGAACAGCATTTTTTTCCAGCAACTTTGTGAAAAACTGAAAGATATATAACATGGGAAATTATGGATCACAGCCCATCTGAGGCAGTCTCCTGAAACAGGAGGCTGTAGTGAGGGTTCTGCAGGATGTCCATTGACTGTTTCTAATCTGTGATTAGTGACCACTTGCTCTAGATTCTGAACAAAACAGCAGCAGAGTCTGCTGGGGTCAAGCAATGATGACAGGTGGACTGTGTAGACAGAGATTGACAAGGGAACTCAAAGAACTAGAGGCTACTCAATCACAGTAGGTTAGAGGGTACCAAGTGCTATATTGCAGATTATTGAAGCTAGACTCATTCTGGCAAATGCACGGTGATGTCAAATCTCACATACTTCTTACTGCCTTATGTAAGTCACCCCATAGGTAGAGAAAGGTCTAAGATGAAGAACATGGAATGTTAGTTTACGGCTACGATACGTCAGAGACACAATCTGAGGTCTGATTCACCTTTGTGCTCATTTTTCGAGTTGGTTTTCTTGATGAAAGATTTTGAGGTTTTCTTCTTGCTCATGAATTCTTCATCTCCCAGGCTATCATATTGTAAATATCGAACAACTGTGACAAAAAAAACATTGTTAAGGAAATTTTTCTTAGAAAGAAACTGCCTTAGACTGTAGAGCATGTCTTCATAACCTCTAGGGATGCTAACCATACAGTGAATCAACTGCACATAGTGCCATTCTTGAGGGAAATGATGGCCTATAGCCTGAAAAAAACAAATGCACAGTGAGACTACAACATCCTCTGTGTTCTGCACCAGTCGAAGATTTTTTAAGTGAGGATTAGAGACATCCACTCCCCATCCATTTAGCCTCACTCACTAACCACAATGCTATATTCCAGTATGGCCTCTTCCAATGCAGACGCTTACCCTCGGAACCCTCTTTCTACTTCTATTGAATCTTCTGGAACCCCTGACATGAGCTGAGCAGGCACAGCAGCAGCTCACCTACAGTACAGGAGATTCTTCCAGATACATGTAAATGTAAAGAGATCTTTTTCTGTCTCACAAAGCTACTTTATTTTTGTTCATTTTAAAAGAAGCTCAACTGCATCCTAAGCATCCAGGTTCAGAATGTTAGGTTGGCAATATTACCTTCTCTCTCACCTGGATTATCTTCCATATGTCCTTACTACGATCAACCATCAATTACTTAAGTCACCTCCTACCAGTAATCAAAGTACACAAAAGCCATACTACAGGCTTCCAGTGCACTCTAATGTCTTTCATAAATTTGAGAATTTTTATTATCCATGTCAGTAGACCACACAATATCTTTTTTTAAATCATTTTTTTATTTTAATTTTAAATAGCTTGTTTTACATGTCAATCCCAGTTCCCTCTCCCTCCCCTCCTCCCGCACTCCCCTTCCTCCCCACCCTCCCAACCTATTGCCAAATCCTTCCACATAGGGGATATCTAGAGTCTGTCATTTTACTCTGGGTAGGGTCCAGGCACTCCCCTAAGAGTCCAGCTGAGAGAGCATCCCTCTTTGTGCTATAGGCACACGAAGACTGTTTGTATACCAGGGATAAACACTGATCCACAGCTCAGGGCCCCATAGGTTGCCCAGGCCTTCTCACTGACACTCACATTTGGGGAGTCCAGATCAGTCCCAGACCCCACTGTCGGTGTAGGGTCCAAGAGCTCTGCCCTGTTCAGATCAGCTGTCTCTGCTGGTTTTGCCAGCCCATTCTTTGCCAATTTGCGCATCACTCCTCTCTCTCCGTCACTGGGTTCCTTGGGTTCAGTTCAGTGATTAATTGTGTGTTTGCCTCTGCTTCCATCAGTCACAGGATGAAGGCTCCCGGATGGTTATAGACATCAAGTTCATTATCAGGAATGGGCATTTGACGTGGTCTCTCCACTATTGCTTAGCTTGCCAATTGGTGTTATCCCTTTAGATCACTCGAGGTCGCTCTGGTGCCTGGGTGCCTGATCTGTATTCGATCCTATGATTCCCTCTTCCCCCTATTCTACCCCCACCCCCTCAACTTCCTGTTCCCCCATGACCAACTCTTCACCCCCTCTCTTCTTCCCAGGTCTCACCCCCCCCCAACCCTCGCCGTGTTCCCCATCCATTCAGAGGATCTTGTCTCAATCCTCTTCTCTTGGGTACTATGCATATATGCATATCTTTTAGGTTCTTTCCTGTTTCCCAGACTCTCTATCAGTGGATATGCAGACTGGCACTATCCTGATCCATGTCTAAAATCCATATATGAGTGAGTACATACCATGTTTGTCTTTTTGCGACTGGGTTACCTCACTCAGGATGGTTTCTTCCAGTGCTATCCATTTCCCTGCGAATTTCAAGATTCCATTGTTTTTTTCTGCTGAGTAATACTCCATTGTGTAAATGTACCACATTTTCTCTATCCACTCTTCAGTTGAGGGGCATCTAGGTTGCTTCCAGGTTCTGGCTATTACAAATAATGCTGCTATGAACATAGTGGAACAGATGCCCTTGTTGTATGAACTTGCCTCATTTGGATATATGCCTAAGAGTGGAATTGCTGGGTCTAGTGGTAGATTAATTCCCATTTTCCTGAGGAATCTCCATACTGATTTCCAAAGAGGCTGTATGAGTCGGCACTCCCACCAACAGTGGAGGAGTGTTCCTCTCTCTCCACATCCTCTCCAGCATAAACTGTCTTCGGTGTTTTTGATTTTAGCCATTCTGATAGGAGTAAGATGGTATCTCAGAGTTGTTTTGATTTGCATTTCCCTGATGGCTAAGGATGTTGAGCACTTTCTTAAGTGTCTCTTGGCCATTTTAGCCTCCTCTACTGAGAATTCTCTATTTAGCTCTGTACCCCACCTTTTAATTGGATCCTTTGGTGTTTTGGAGACTTATTTCTTGAGTTCTTTGTAAATTTTGGAGATTAGTCCTCTGTCAGATGTAAGCTTAGTGAATATCTTTTCCCATTCTGTGGCCTGCCTTTTTGTCTTTTTGACTGTGTCCTTTGCCTTACAGAAGCTTTTTAGTTTCAGAAGGTCCCATTTGTTAATTGTTGATCTCAGTGCCTGTGCCACTGGTGTTATGTTTAGGAAGTGGTCTCCTGTACCAACTCGTTGAAGAGTATCTCCCACTTTCTCTTCTAAAAGTTTCAGTGTGGCTGGATTTATGTTGAGATCTTTGATCCATTTGGACTTAAGTTTTGTACAAGGCGATAAACATGGATCTATCTGCAGTCTTCTGCATACCAGTACCCAGTTATGCCAGCACCATTTGTTGAAGATGCTTTCTTTTTTCCATTGTACAGTTTTAGCTTCTTTGTAAAAAATCAAGTGTTCATAGGTGTGTGGGTTAAAATTAGGGCTTTTGATTCGGTTCCATTGGTCTACCTGCCTATTTTTGTGCCAATAACAAGCTGTTTTCAGGACTATAGCTCTATAATAGAGCTTGAAGCCAGGTATGGTGATGCCTCCTGAAGTTCCTTTATTGTATAGGGATGTTTTGGCTATCCTGGGCCTTTTGTTTTTCCATATAAAGTTGATTAATGTTCTTTCCAGGTCCTTGAAGAATTGTGATGGAATTTTGATAGGGATTGCATTGAATCTGTAGACTGCTTTTGGCAAGGTTGCCATTTTTATTATGTTGATCCTACCAATCCAAGAGCATGGGAGATCTTTCCATTTTCTGGTATCTTCTTTGATTTCTTTCTTTAAAGACACAAAGTTCTTGATATACAGGTCTTTACCTTGGTTAACATTATCCCCAGATATTTGATGCTGTTTTTGGCTATTGTAAAGGGTGATGTTTCTCTGATTTCTTTCTCAGTCACTTCATCATCTGTATATAATAGGGCCACTGATTTTTTTGAGTTTACCTTATATCCTGCCACATTGCTGAAGGTGTTTATCAGCTCTAGGAGTAACCTTGCGGAGTTTTTTGGGTCACTTATGTAAACTATCATATCATCTGCAAATAGTGAAAGTTTGTCTTCTTCTTTTCCTATTTGTATTCCCTTTATCTCCTTTTGTTGTGTTATTGGTGTAGCTAGAACTTCAAGTACAATATTGAAGAGATATGGAGAGAGTGGACAGCCTTGTCTTGTTCCTGATTTTAGAGGAATTGCTTTGAGTTTCTCTCCATTTAGTTTGATGTTAGCTGTTGGTTTACTGTATATTGCTTTTATTATATTCAGGTACGTTCCTGTTATCCCTGATCTCTCTAGGACCTTTATCATGACGGGGTGCTGGATTTTGTCAAAGGCTTTTTCAGCATCTAGTGAGATGATCATGTGGTTTTTCTTTTGCAGTTTGTCAATATGGTGGATTACATTGATAGATTTTCTAATGTTGAACCATCCCTGCATTCCTGGGATGAAGCCTACTTGATCGTGGTGGATGATTTTTCTGATGTGTTCTTGAATCCGGTTTGCGTGTATTTTATTGAGTATTTTTGCATCAATGTTCATGAGGGAAATTGGTCTATAGTTCTCTTTCTTAGTTGTGTCTTTGTGTGGCTTGGGTATCAAGGTAATTGTAGCCTCGTAGAAAGAGTTTGGCAGTGAGCCTCCTGCTTCTATTGTATGGAATACTTTGAGGAGTATTGGAATTAGCTCTTCTTTGAATTTCTGGTAGAAATACACTGAAGCCATCTGGGCCTGGGCTTTTTTTGTTTGGGAGACTTTTGATGACTGCTTCTATTTCATTAGGGGTTATAGGTCTGTTTAGAATGTTTGTCTGTTCTTGATTTAGTTTTGGCAAGTGATATCTATCCTGGAAATTGTCCATTTCCTTTAAATTTTCAAATTTTGTGGAGTACAGATTTTCAAAGTATGCCCTGATGATTCTCTGGATTTCCTCAGAGTCTGTTGTTATGTCCCCTTTTTCATCCCTGATTTTGTTAATTAGCATGCTCTCCCTCTGTCTTTTGGTTAGTTTGGACAGAGGTTTATCTATTTTGTTGATTTTCTCAAAGAACCAACTCTTTGTTTCATTGATTCTTCTCAGTGTTTTTCTGGTTTCTACTTGATTGATTTTA